ACCTGGGAAATAAACAAGATAAAGGCCGGTCTCCACACCAAAGATCCTCCCAAAAGCGTACACATCTGCCATCACGAACTTTGAATCTAATATGAGTAGAAAAAGCGTCCCATCCCTTCCTTATGAATTTCCACGCCCCAACTCCTCCCACAAGAGAAACCGGACGAGTAGACCAACCACTACACTCTTCCCCATATCGACATGAAACAAGCCTTCGCCAAGGGCGATGTCTTTCCCTTCCATGCCACCACAATCCTTTACCCAGAAGAGCTTGGTTAAAGGGGACCAATCTTCTGATACCAAGACCACCAAACTTCATTGGCTTTCAAACTTGTTCCCAATTGACAAAGTGATACTTAAATTCATCACCTCTCCCACCCCAAAGGAAATCCCTTTGAATTTTCTCAATCCTATCAGCAATTGAGCAAAGGAATTTGGAACATAAAAAATATGTGGGAAGGCTCGATAAAGTGCTCTTTATAAGCGTAACTTTCCCTCCCTTAGACACGTATTGCTTTTTCCATCCTGCTAATCTCTTCGCATACCTATCAATCACAGGGTCCCAACACCCCACCGTTCTAGAGGAAACCCCTAAAGGCAAGCCCAAATACGGAATTGGAAAAGAACTCACCCTACACCCAAGGAATTCCGCTAAAGAAGAAATATCCTGAACATCTCAAACCGGAACAAGCACACTTCTAGCCACATTAACTTTCAGACCAGAGACAGCCTGAAAATAGGCCAAAATGCACCTCAGATATCTAAGCTGAGACACATTAGCATCACAGAAAACCAGGGTGTCATCCGCAAAAAAGTAAATGAGAGAACTCCATCTGATGGACAGTATCTCTTCCTACCATAAAGCCCTTGATAAGATCAAGATCCTCTGCTCTTCGCATAAGTCTACTTAAGCCCTCCATAACAATAAGAAAGAGGAAAGATGACAGGGGATCTCCTTGTCTTAAACCCCGAGAACACCCAAAGAAACTAGCAAGAGACCCGTTAACAAGAACAGAGAATTTGATAGTCGAAAGGCATGTCTCAATCCATTTCCTCCATTTACTACCAAACCCCATTCTCTGAAGCAAATAAAGCAGGAAATTCCAATTCACATAATCAAACGCTTTCTCAATGTCAAGTTTACACAAGACTCCGGGAACACCACTTCTCAATCTGGAATCCACACATTCACCTGCAATAAGAACTAAATCAAGAATTTGTCTTCCTCCAACAAAAGCATTCTGGGAATCTAAAATAATCCCATCCATTACTCCCCTCAACCTAAGAGCAAGGACCTTAGCCAGAAGCTTGTAAATACATCCCACTAAGCTGATAGGACGAAAGTCTTTAATGTCAGAAGCACCTCCCTTCTTAGGCATAAGGGCAATGAAAGTTGCATTAAGCGATTTCTCAAAGGCACCAGTAGAATAAAACTCCTGAAAAGTACCCATGACATCGTTTTTCACAACTGTCCAACTTTTCAAAAGAAACCGCATGGTAAACCCATCAGGCCCCGGAGCTTTGTCCCCATTACAACTAGATAAGGCCTGTAGAACTTCTTCTTCAGTAAAAGGAATCTCAAGCCCTTCCCTATCAATCTCGAAAATGGCCTCGAAATGAAGACCATCAAGTTTAGGTCTCCAAGCAAGCGATTCGGTATAAAGCTTTTGATAAAAGGAAGCAATCCCATTACGCTCTTCCTCCCTCCACACTTCTACACCTTCCACCCGAATACGTCCTATATGATCACTTCTTCTATGAGCGTTAGCGAGTCTGTGAAAAAATTTTGTATTGCGATCTCCCTTTTTTGGCCAAAGAGCCCGGGATTTTTGTCGCCAAGATATCTCCTCCATACTAGCAATCTCAGCAAAAGCTGCCTGACAAGAAGCTCTCCTAGAATGCAAAAACTCCACATCCCCACCCGCCTCTTCTAGGCGATCAATCTCATAAAAATCAGCAAGGACTCTACTCTTCATTCAAGATTCCCAAAAACGTCTTTATTCCACTGTTTAAGATCGAATTTGAGAGCCTTCTACTTTGTAGATAACATGAAACTAGATAAGCCTATGACAACAACTCCCTCTCACCAAGACTGAACTTTTCCTTGGAAGTCCTCCGCTCTTAGCCACATATTCTCAAATCGAAACGGAGACCTTTGAGAACTCAAAAACCTCCACAATCTAAAACCAAAGGAACATGATCAGAAATAAGCCGAGCTAAAACTGCTTGAACGACATCCGGGAATTTCTCTTCGCTTTCCTTCGATCCAAGCCTGGAATTGTTGTAGAACACAATATGCTAAGGTTCCTTGGTATATTTTGTGTCGGATGGGTGGAGTTCAAGAATATCTACTACTTGTTGCCTTGATTTCCAAGTCAAATTTCTTTCTTTCACAAATATTTGGAAGAAAGGCATTTGTCTCACTTTTGTTTGACACAATTGTAAATTAAGATACCACAATTGTTGTGTGGAACTTGATGCAATATTGAAAATCCTTGAAGCTCTAGGAATAATATGTTTCAACCTCATGACACTACCCATCCATATGCATGATGAACGAAAGAAAAAGTCCAACAATTGGATTGCTAGGATGCACTTTATGCCTCATAAAAAATATTATGCTCAACATATGCTCCTTAAGGTTGCTGTAGGATTGCATAGGCTCTGAGAATATATGGTCTTATTTATAGACCTTGGAGGCTGAAAAAGTTTAGGTTTAAAAGAGTTCAAATCAGATTTGGGAACTGCCATTCCGAAGATTTCGATTGAGCGACAAAAGCTTTCATTGTTCAAACCTAGCTCACTGAGTCTCAACTGGTCAGAAGTTATGATCCAATTATATTATGCTGCGTTTGGTGTGCAGGAATGGAATGGAATACAAGTGAGAATGGAATGAGAATGAGAATGGAATGGCCATTCTCATTTTATTGTTTGGTTGTAAATATGAAATGTGTAGGAATGGAATGATAATAACCATTCAAGTGCTTGGTTGGACCAATTTAAAATTTAGAATGGAATAAATTTCAAATTGAGTTCTCCAAAATATCCCTCTTAATAACAAATAAATTAAATTAACAAAATAACATTCTTCTATAATTTTTAAAAAATAAATGGAGGCAATGGTGGTGGTTGATGGTGGTGAAGATGGCGATGGAGGTGGAAGGTGGTATTGGTGTGGGTGGTGGTATTGGAAGGATGTGGCGATGGCAATGGTGGAAGGTGGTGTCGGTGTTGGTGGAAGGCGATGGTAGTAGTGTGGTGGTGGTGGTGGTAGTGGAAGGATATAGTGGTGGAAGCCAATAGAGGTGACTGTGGTGGTGGTGGAAGGCAGTGGAGAATGCGGTGGTGGAAGGCGGTGGCGCTGGTTGAAGGCGGTGGCGGTGGTGGTGGTGGTGAAAGGTGACGGTGGCGGTGGCGGTGGTGGTGGTGGTGAAAGATGGCGGTGGTGGTGGTGATAGAAGGTGGTGGCAATGGAAGGCGGTAGTGGTGGTGGAAGGCGGTAGCAGAAGGTGGTGACCGTAGTGAAAGGTGGTGGCGGTGGCGAAAAGTGGTGGCGGTGGTGAAAGGCGGTGGCGGTGTAAGGCAGTAGTGGTGGTGAAAGGCGGTGGCGGTGGCACTGGTTGTGGTGGAAGGTGCTGGAGGTGGTGGAAGGCGGTGTTGCTGGTGGTGGAAGACGGTGTTGGTGGTGGTGGTGGAAAGCGGTGGCGGTGGTGAAAGGTGGCAATGGTGGTGGTCATGGAATGTGATGGTGGTTTAAGGCGGTAGCGGTGACGATGGCGGTGGTGGAAGGTAGCGGTGGTGAAAGGCGGTGGCGGCGGTTACGGCAAAGGAAGGCGGTGTCGGTGGTGGTAGTGGAAAGCGGTGGGCGGTGGTAGAGGTGGAAGTCGGTGGTGGTGGTGGTGAAAGACGGAGGTAGTAGTGGTGGTTTTTGGAGTTGGAACATGAGGGTTTTTTGGGAAGTTGATTTTTTTAAAAAAATTTACTTGGAATGGAATGGTTATTCCATAAGTTTTGTTGTGGAATGGATTTTCATTCCAATGAAATGGCCATTCCCACTTTAAATTGCATATCAAACAAAAGAATGGTTGGAATGGGTATTCCATTCCATTCCAATCCTGCACAACAAACGTAGCATTAAAGTTTAACTTTTCAAAATAATTTTATACATTCCAAAACACGTTTTTATGGATCAAAATATGCAATTTAAAAACCCTAACAGGCTTAATCATATAAATGAATGCATATGAATACAAAATTGGTGAGAGCACAATACTGAGTTAAATTTACCTTTTTGCCCTTGCTAAACCGATGAATTTTCCAAATATCCCTTGGACAACGGTAACTCAACTAAATTAACTTAACTAACATTGAAGACAAAAATAAAAAATCAAGATCAAAATTAACAGACTCCGTTTTGTATGAAATTTGTCAACTAGAGTCCTGTTGACCTCACAGGTACAAACCAAAATTAGTGTGGGTCAACATAATAAGGAAAGATGAGGAGTGTGTGGTTTAAATGAAGTTTTGGTCATAGACAAAGCAGAATGACGAAACATAGTTCACGTACTGGACCCCTCCTAACAGTTGGTACAACTGTTTGTTGAGTTGAATTAAATTGCTAATATTTAGCCATGTCCAGTTTTGGGGAATCCAATGCAGATTGATACCACACCCAACATAAGCACCAGAGTTTGAGATAGACCTTTACAATTAATAACCCAGAGGATAATAAAGTTTAATTGTGCCACCCGTAGATAACTTCATTAAGAAAAACAACAAGCCATGCCTTTCTATTACCCGGAGTTCGGGAATTGCTCATTCAAATTTTGTGAAAGCTCGTCCACATGGAGAATCTCAGATCCACACTGGGATTAAAATCAAGTATACATCATAGCAGAACAAAATTCATTACCAATTTCAGATCACCACCGAGGTTGAAGAACTGGCTTGAACTATTACAGATAAAAGAGAATCAAGGGTGTAGAAGAAGGAGCTAGTACCTTGTACCCAAAAAGTGAATCTTCATATGTTTCATATGGGCCAATTGTAACATCCAACTTAGAGTCCTTTAAAAAATCAAAATCAAAATTAAAACAGAAGTCATCACAATTTTTTTGGTCTTATGAATGCACAAAGTCAGCTCACTAAAGGAAAAGATAAGAAGTTCTTACTAAAAGCTCGACTAAAATGTAAATAACAGTCGATACTCGTGGTAGTTATATCCACAAAGATAACAAGGCAATGATAGTTGCTTAGAGAATTCAAAGAATAACTAGGAAAAAATAAAATTCAAGGAACCTTCCAGGGTTGAGCGATTTTTAAAGTAACTGTATAATTAGATGTCATAATTAGGCTTTATGCCTAATGCTAATGAAGAAGAAAAATGAACCAAAGAAAACTAACATCATCAGCGAAACATGTGAAGAAGAAAAAAATAACAACACTAATGTGGTTGGATGTCAAAATATTACTAAGAAGAAACATTCTTATGATGAAAGAGCCTTACTAGCTTCTTATTAAACATTTATTACTGGTGTACTGACGATGGTGCAAAGATTTAATAAAAAATGAAAGCAAAGGTTTGGAAAGATGGTTATACAAAGGATTCTACACTTAAATAACTTTGATGTGAAAGATGATGCAGGGTGTTTGACATTTGTGGCCCTTATTCCATAATCAGATTTTACAAGAATTTGTCTGACTCCTTCCCATTTCAGCTAAAAATGTTTTCAACAGATTGGTTTTTCAATCCAGGATGCTTCTGTTAGCAAGAAACAATACTTAGATTTGGGTCCTCCCTTGCCCCGTGAAAGGTTGTTAATAACTGAGTCAAAATAGTCTTCCTGCATGCATCCAGGACAAGTCACAAGCATATTACTTCTGAAAAGAACGAAGTCTTCTCTTGCTATCAAAACAAAAGAAAAAAAGAAAATAAAGACTTGAAATAAGAAGTTCTCTTTTCTAATATATTCTACACAATTCTTATGATCTACTTGATATCTTTCTCGTCATATTTTGTGGTCATTATCCACGAACTTGTGGAAGACAACGAAGATTTTATTTCAAATGGGGAAAGAATATCAAATATCAGTTGAAGCGGAGGTCTGCTGCAGCAAAAGTGATGGGACCTTGGTAATATGTATCTCACTTTTTGCTTCTCATGACTGCTTGATATCTTTCTCGTCATATTTTGTGGTTATTATCCACGAACTTGCGGAAGACAATGAAGATTTCATTTCAAATGGGGAAAGAATATCAAATATCATGTGAAACGGAGGTCTGTTGCAGCAAAAGTGATGGGAACTTGGTAATACGTTTCTCATTTTTTGCTTGTCATGACCTACTTTACAAGTTGCGTTTGGAGATTATTGTTGGAACACAATAGATTTAGGTGCAACATCATTTGTGAAAGTACGGATAAGACAATGGAGAGAAAATTGTTGTTCCTGCTGTTGATACATAGAATGTGTGGCATGTACATAAATCTTAATCTGTAAGGGTGGTTGGTTCATTTGAATGAATTGAAGATATATAGTTGGAAATTGGAATGTAATATAGTCTGAGATTAGGGTTGGAAGAGAGAAAGTAGAGAGAGATTGAATGAAAGAAAGAACGTACAAAAACATTGAGAGTGAGATACACACCTCTCAACATCCACAAAATTATATTATTATAATAGGTGAAATTTACAAAATATTCCTTTCTAGAGTATTATAATAAGTACTGAATATTTTAAGGATTCTAACACTCCCCCGTAAGTATTTAATATTTTAAGTATTCTAACACTCCCCTGTAAGTGGTGCATAAATATCCTTTTTGTACCCACCTTATAAACAAAGGAACAAAAGTTTCTTTTATCCAAGCCCTGAGTGAAGAAATCGGCTAGTTTCCAAGGGCGGTAGCTTAGTGGTATATCCTTAACCTCCCTTTAGCAAATGATATTTATATATTCTATTAGTTAGAGCAAAAATGAAAGATAAACAGAGAAAGTTCATGCTAAACATTTTATTTTTTTCAGGGAGTTTATGCACAGGCTTATATAGCTTGTTTATATACAAACCTCTAGTAATGGAAAACCCCATATCAGGGAAACAGTTCTAGCCTCTAGGAGTTCCTATTAGTCTTTCAAGCATTTTATGCTGTTTTAAAATATTTTTTTTATTTTTCCTTAGTTGGTACTCACACACACATGCTCCACCGAGGCTTTAACCCCTAACCTCCCTTTGGGAAGTAAGGGGGAAGTAAGGGCCTGATACTGCTAGGCCATTGGCCCGTTGGTGTTTTAAAATATGTTAAACGTGAACAGAATTTTTTGTAAAGGTTTGCTGACAGGTTTGATAATCAATTGTCCAGGATTTGAATGTTGAATGCGGATAGAATTCATTTAGACAGGTTTATGAACAGGTTTGGGTATCAATGGTTAATAGATAGAATTCTTTTGAATGTGGATACAAATTATATACTGAAATATCCTTTCAATAATTACTGTATGATATCATGTGCCTTGAATTTGGTTACTTGTTCAATAATAGGTAATGAGAAGGGTAATTAATATTGGTAAGCAGTCAAGAAAGCTTACCATTGTCCCTGGGAGATGTAATTAGTGTGTTACCAGAGTAAATATATTGTCACCTCAGATTGAAGGTTTTGAATTAATCGTGCAATTACATTGTTGTTTGCTACATGGAGGGTACTAAAATTATGATGAAAGAGCAGAGGTATTAGTTAATTGTTCTTGTTCCTTTTCCTAGAGGACCAACCTTATGGTATACACTAAAATTTATCACAAGAGAAACTGGGAAGGTCAATGGATAAAGCAGTCATGAGCAAGATATGTATCAGGGGGAATGCTCCCTGTGTTTTTGCATAGCTTTATGCCTTTTTTCTTAATAATAAAAATCCGCTTACCTATAAGAGAAAATTGTTCTTATGAACCTGAAAAAAAAAAGTGTTCGTGTTGAAGGATTTATATATTAAAGTTACACCCTCTAACAGCTTAAGCTTTTAGAGTAGATGGTAGTTAACATGATATCAGAGCCAAAAGGTCTCAACTTCAAACCTCGCCGTCACCCTAATTAAAAATTGAAAAACACGTGTTGGACCAAAAAGGAGGCCACATGTGAGGGGGCGTGTTGAAGGATTTATATATTAAAGTAACACCATCTCTAACAACTTAAGCTTTTAGAGTAGATGGTAGTTAACAGTTTGGCGTCTGTGCAGATAATATGGCCTTGTGGCATGTCTGGGTAGGAAAAGAAGTATTTTGGCTTATAAAAATTAATAAGACATGATATTGGATTTTAAAAAGAATTACTTTATCCAATTTTAATCTTGTTGAACATGAACAATTATAAGTGTACAATAATTTCCAATTAAGGGGGAAAAAAAAATCAGAAGACAATTATTAAACCTTGCATTTGTTTTCTTGCATTCAAATTGTTGGAAAGAGTAGGCATTACTAAATGTGATTTTACTTGCTGTTTCAGCCTTGGAAATCAGAATAACTGACTTTGCTCAGTTTTAAAGAAAATACATTTAGAGTGACTTGTTTTGGCAAACCATGCGGTGAGTACCTCTCACCAGCATGTCAAGTGGGGAGGGTTAGATGTACCAATACTAAGATGACATGTAATATATCCATCTTTAGGTATATCCACAGCATCAAGTCTTTAATTATCTGAAATTATAATTACTCTTCAAAATTTTACAAAATTAAAGACCAACACTTGTACTATCAAACAATATAATATAACCCAGGTAAAGTAAAAAAGTCCAAATTATTAAACTTTTAAAGTCCAAATTATTAAACTTTTACTGCCAATAGTGAACCTATAATTTATGTATAAGCCATTATTTGTATTAAATCAACTATAAGAATAGGTCCATTTTGTTTGAAGGGTAGTTAATGGGTAGCTGTTTTACTAAATAAGAACAACCAAGAAAGGCCCAGGGGAGAAGGAAAAAAAAAAAAAAAAAAAAAGGAACCAACAAAGCACAATTTATTTATTTTTGAAGCGAACCCAACGGGTTGGCTCAAGTAGGTAAGTACCTTGGCCCTGGTGCCTCAGGAAGCAACAGGTCTAAGGTTCAACTCTTTTTGGGTTCGAGCCCGTTTGGCAGTGCTGTTGTAATGGTAAAAGCGCTTTTATTAGTAAAGTTGTCATAAAAGTGCAGCCAGTAAAAAGCATTTTAGGCGTTTCATGATGCATCATATAAAGTAAATGTTATATTTAAAGTACTTTTAAATTTGTTTGGTAACAATATTGCTTAAAGCACTTTTATTACTAACTTTACTATATTATCCATATAGTAATAAACATGTGCATCTCAAATATAAATAATTTAAACATATTTAATGAACATTAATTTCTATTTGATATAAGATTTTTTTTAGTAATAAAATATGCATATTTACACATGATATTTAATAATAAAATTTAACGAAATAATGATATTTAATGGTAATACGCATGTATACCTATCTGCAAACCAAAACCATGACCATGCATCAATACGACTAATGGTTTTAGAGTTCCAACTAAACACATTATTTATCTAATCGTTTTTTACCTAAATAAACTTGTAATTATAAGTATTAAAGAGGGATTAGATTGTCTAAAAAAAAAATTAGATACTAACCTCTAAGCAAAATGCAATTTCAGAAGCTCCAATTTCCAGCTTCATCTAAACGCGCTTTTTTTTTATTAAACCTCTCCTCCCTAGACGTGCTTTTTTTCTACACCAAATACCACTAAACGCTATTTTTTAAATTCAACGTGCCTTTGAAGGTGACAAACGCAATCCCAAATGGATTCTTCATACAATTCCTTGGAGAGGGAGTGTGTGAGTACCAACTAGGCAAATATATATATATATATATATATATATATATATATATATATATTTGAAGCTGTACCAAGTATACTATTTTATCATATACATATTTTGAGTTTCACAGACTTTTAAAGTCAAATGAAGGCCCATTCACAATAGTCACGCAGGAATAAAGCAGAATCATAGCTTTGGAGTGGAAATACTATGGTACAGAAGACAATTAAAACCAACTTAAAAGAAGAAAGAATAAAAAGAGGGAGGTAAAGAAGGAGATTCCTGCGACTACCACTTCTTGATGTCTTTGTTTAACTTATTTGGAAGCTTCTGATCATAAAAAGATGATAACAATAACCTTTCTGATAATATGGTCACAGTGAAGCTATGTCAAGAAGAACATATAAACACTATGCTACAGGAAAATAAAGCATTGCACTTGCGTTGTATGCAGCGAACAAAATTTGGAGGATTAAATATAAACAACATACTAACCAATTCCATCCAGGCAATATCTGAGTCATAGTAGTCATTTGAAAGAAAAGCATCAGCCTTGCTATGTAATAACCTCTTCAAACTACACAATGCAAGAATTATTCCATCAGAAGCTCAATACTTCCAGTTATCCATGATTTCTAACGATAGGCTAAGAAAAATAGTAAACCAACGAGCATTAGACCTAGGTGAGCTGGTCAAGTCTCCCGCTTTATGCAGTAATTCAGCAGCTTTGGCAAGGAAAGGTTTATACTCCTGAGAGTAAGGAACGGTATAGAGATCATGAGCAGATCCCACCAAATGACTCGTGCTACCTACTGTAGTTTTGGAAAGTGATGCGTCCAAATTCAATTCACTGCGCCTTTTGATAACAGTGAAAAAGCCTGTTGCATCATTTTTCTCATCCTCCTTAAGAGTATCCTTCCATAAATTAAATTCCTATAACAAGAAAGAGCTCAGTCAGTTTTCAGGCTGGAAATTAAAGAAAATGAATTTTAAATGACAGCCAATGTAGCAAATTTTGAGGCAGGGTCACAACAGTAGATTAAGGGGATGTAGAACAATATATTTTTTAAGCATTTGATGGAACATCCCATCCTATACCTTTTTGTCCATATCTGGAGGATAGAAATTTGCACCAGGTGGTTTCAGCATGGGAAAAGCAGCCCTATATTCAAGCCCCTTCCACCCTTTTGACGGCTTTGTAGCTTCGGGAAGCAACTTAATGGCCGAGTCTGCAGTTGTCAAAAATGCCTCATCTTCATCAAGGCAAGACCTGTTAAGAAATAAATGAATTTTAATACACTATACATTCTTTTACATAATAACAGACCATATAGACAAAAGAAAAAAACTTCACTAGATAGCAATTCAGAATCTTAAGAATAGAAAGACTTGGAGCTTAGCCTACAAAACTTATCAGATACGATCAGTAGCATTTAGTTTAAATCCTTATGTAATATTAACTACAAAAAGATCTCCAGATAACCCGACGAAAAGAAAAAAAAAAAAAAAAAAAACTGCATATTCAGCAGTCTATAATATATGCCTCCCAAAGTTGCAATACAGGAGAGGTGATGCATGTAATGTTTGTGAGCATTTTAATAAGAGACTACAAAATCAGAATGTAGTCTGAAGTCCTAATGCCTAATGCCATAGCAGAAATTTCGTAGATCTCAAGAGACCAGGAAAGTTTATGTTACAAAATACATACATTCAGCATAATGACTGAGTACTAGATCAAGACACCAAGTAGAGTGGACCAATTTAAATCTTCTGAAATGGTTAAGATTGTTGAAACAAATACACTGCATCCAAGAAGAGTGAAAACGTCAGCTGAAAGGAACTAAACTGACAAATATAATGGTCAATTTTCACCATCATAGTTTCAGGAGTATAGGACAGACAAAAACCTTCAAATTCTTCAATTTTACCAATATGTTAGTGTTAGCTGAGATATTTTAGCCCAAAATCATGGAATTCGACTTACCATATTAGACAAGATATGTTAGCCTAGAATCATGGGATTTTACTTTTTTACACATATTTTTAGGCATAGAATCTTCAGTGATTTTATTTGGTACCTTTCTTGTAATATTTAACACGTGTTCTTTTAGTATATAAATACGAGAGTTGTGAATGAGTGACTAATACTCATTCAAACCTTTACATATTTCAATTGTATTTCTTATTGTATCAGAGCCAACACCTTTTTACAACCTCGAGCAACCTTGAAACTGTAACGACCTAACCCTATCCAGACACAATATTGTCCGCTTTTGGCTCCCCCGGACTAGAGACTTCCCAGGGGGACACCCATCCTGGTACTATTCCAAGTTAAGCACGCTTAACTCCGGAGTTCTGGTAGGTTCACGGCCATTACGGCTTTAAAGCGCGTTGTGTTATAAATAGGTGTTGAATCTACATATAGCACTTGCCTTATCCACACACAGGCGATGTGAGAATTGTGAGCACACGTAGCTCACACCAGAGCCTTGCCTCTCACAGGCCTGCTCCCGCCCACCGAGCCTTACAATTCCACCCCCCTTGGGAGCCCGACGTCCCCGTCGGCACACATCCGGCTGGGTCAAGCTCTGATGCCATTTGTAACGACTCTCACCCTATCCAGACACAATATTGTTTGCTTTTGGCTCCCTTGGACCAGAGACTTCCCAGGGAGTCACCCATCCCTATACTAATCAGGGTTAAGCATGCTTAACTCTGAAGTTCTAGTAGGTTCACAGCCATCACGACTTTAAAACGCGTTGTGTCATAGATAGGTGATGAATCTAAATATAGCACTTGCCTTGTCCACACCCAGGCAATGTGGGAATTGTGAGCACATGTAGCTCGTACCAGAGCCTTGCCTCTCACAGGCCTGCTCCCGCCCACCAAGCCTCACAGCAGGTTATGCGAGGGATACCTTATAATTGGTCATCTACACCTAGATGGACTAGGGTAAATTTTTTTTTGATAAGTAACGTTCATTAAAAGCACTCAAGAGGGGAGCACACCCAAAAGAACACACATGACGCCAAAGCTGACAACTAAAGCTTCAAGCTATCAACAAAGTCCAAAAGATGCCCCAAAGATTTACAATTATGCCCATTCACCCCAAAAAATTAAGTATACAGTATACTATATTTGAGAGTCCAAATAGGAGTCCTTCAAAGGATCTCCTATTTCTCTCACACCACAAACCCCACCATAAGCAAAGGGGAATGGCCCTCCAAGCATCCATGGCTCCACTCTCCACTAGACATCCTCTCCAGGCCTCAACCAAATCCACAGTGGATCTTGGGAATGCTAGAGTAGGATTTATTTTTATTGGCGGGTAGTTTTGACCTTTCCTTAGTTTATTAGTTTAGGGCTTATTATATTATTATGTATTGTATTGTACTCTTATGTAACATTCAAGAATACGACTACTGGATTTTCTTCTCTCATCTTCTCTGCGCAATATTTTCATGGTATCAGAGCAGTACTTTCAATCGAATCTGCAATAGACTTGAAGTTCTGTGTTCGACTATGATTTGCATCTCAGCTGCATAGTTTGCATCATCGCAGTTTACAGTTTGCTGCCCCATCAGATTTCTCTCTCTTTGCAACTTGAATAGCTTCTCTACTGGTTCAGTTCGCATCATCAATTGCAACTCTTCAAACGCACCATCGATTGCAATTCTTCAAACACACCATTGTTTGTGCAATACAAACACAGAGCAAACAGACTTGGACTGAGATTGTGCAATACAAACAGAGAGTAAACAGATGCGCGTGATGAGATCGTTGCTGTGAACAGAGACCCAGAGATTCATATCAGAGAAACTAGGGTTTGCAATTGATGCTATGGTGCTGTCAGATGCGACTGCTGCAATAGATAAAATTATAAGTGATAATATATACAATTGCTGTTGCACAAATGAGAGAGAATTGATGCCATAACATCATAAGTGACACCAACTGCAAAGTGAGAGCGAAACAAATAGAGGATGCTGCAATGCTATGAAATTGCGAGAGTGCTCTCTATATTATTCAAACCAGAGGAGATAGAAGAACTACTATGTGTTAATTGTCAGCGATTGGGATTTGCTATGGATGATGCATACCGAAGGTGTCCCTTTGGCTGATCCTATTTTATATCGAACAATAGTTGGTGGTTTTGTATATCTCACTGTCACTTGACCTGATCTTACCTATGCTATTCACGTTGTCAGCCAGTTTGTATCGTCTCCTACCACTGTTCACTGGGCTGCAGTTCTTCGTATCTTGCGTTATATTCAAGGTACTTTGCACCAAAGTTTGTGGTTTTCTTCTACATCAGCTTTGGAGCTTTGTGCTTTTTCTGATATTGATTGGACTGGAGATCCCACAGATCGTAAGTCTACCACTGGTTTCTGCGTTTTTCTTGGTGATTCTCTAATTTCCTGGAAAAGCAAGAAGCAAAGAGTTGTTGCTCGTTCTTCTGCTGAAGCTGAGTATTGTGCCATGGCTGCAACTACAGTGGAGATAGTTTGGCTACGGTTGTTGCTTGATGATCTGGGTATTTCTTTGGTTGCTCCAACTTCTATGTATTGTGATAACAAGAGTGCTATTCAGATTGCACACAATTCTGTTTTTCATGAACGCACCAAGCACATTGAGATTGATTGTCATTTCAAGCGCCAACACCTTCAGCTTGGCACCATTTCTCTACCATTTGTTTCTTCTTCTCTGCAGTTGCCTGACTCCTTCACAAAGTCCCACACTATTTACATCTTCGTTTTCTTCTTAGCAAACACTCGATGCTCCTCACTGTCACATCGTGAGTTTGAGAGGAGGAGGGGGTGGGGGTGGGGGTGGGGGTGGGCGGGGGGTGTTATGAGTAGGATTTTATTTTTATTGTTGCGGGTTAGTATTGTCCTTCCTTTAGTTTATTATGGGTTCCTTGGGTTCTTCTTCAATGAGAGCTCTAACTAGTCAAAATTGTCGTTTCTTGAGGTCGCAAGGCTTCCTCGTTTGGACTTACAGGGAGATGTGGTATGTGTTATCACAAATATAGGGCATGTTCTTAGGGTGGACAACCACAGCACCAACATTCACGAACACATGCTCAAGTCTTGCCTTGTTGGGAGGTTTGACAGAGAAGTGGGATCTTTGGATGATATAGAACGGTGGGCCTCGAAGACACGGAACATCTCCTGTGGGGTTAGGGTTACCACTCTGGCTGACGGACTCCTTTTGTTCAGATTTCCATCGGTTATGGAAGCTCAGAAGGTTTTGAACAAGGCAAGAAATCTTGGGGTGTTGCGCAGTTATTTATCAACTTGTGGTGTTTTCGGGTTGGGTGTTTTGGGTTGAGGAAGAAGACTAAGCACCAGCGAGTCATCTTGTATGGTCTTCCTCAGCATCTTTGGTGTCAAAATCTTTTTGTAGCCATTGGAGACCTTTGTGGAGGGTTTTGGGATGTGGAGGCTTATGAAATGAGCGAAACTAAGAGGATTGTTATTACTATGCTTGAAGGCGGTGAGATCCCAGAGTTTATTATAGTGGAGGACAGATGATAGTTAATATTGTATAAGAGCCAAAGGTTTCGAGTTCAAACCTCACCGTCACCCCAATTAAAAATTGAAAAACACATGTTGGACCAAAAGAAGGCCAAATGTGAAGGGGCATGTTGAAGGATTTAAATATTAAAGTTACACCCTCACTAACAGCTTAAGCTTTTAGAGTAGATGGTTGTTGACAAAACCCAAAAGCAAAAACCAAAAATCACAGGTCACCTAGCCGGTTAGAACATGTTTACAGGCCTCTTCAGATGGGCGGTCTTGGTATTAGGAGGATGATTCTCTTTAATAGGGCGCTCCATGGGAAGTGGTTATGGAGATTTGGTAGTGAGAGACATCGTTTATGGAGGAGGGTTATAGCGTGTCATTTTGGGGAGGAGAGAGGAGGATGGTCTTCCAAGCCGGTTAGATCTGTGGTGGCGTAGGAGTGTGGAAGTTTATTCGAAATGGATGGGACGAGTTTTCTAAGCATAATAGATTCAAAGTTCGGGAAGGTAGGGATGTCTGGTTCTGGGAGGAGGATTGGTCTGGTGATTGCCCGTTGTCTCGCTTGTTTCCAAGACTTTTCAGGATTGCTGCGGATAAACATGTTATGGTAGCGGACTGTTATCGGCTTAACAGCGGAAGGCTTACGCGGGATGTGCATTTTCGGCGTGCTTTTCAAGATTGGGAACCTGTTGGATCTTTTGTATGTACAGGATTTGGATGGTAGAGGGTATGATTCCTTGGTTTG